CCATCACAGCACAAAAAATGAAAAAAAAAATGAAAAGGGGGAGCAAACATAAAAAAATGAGCATGATAATGAAACATTGCTGTTGGCCAAGCCTGAGCCTGAAGAGAAGGAAATTGAGAACGAAGTGATGCTGCTTGCAGTCACCTGACTGCTCAAGGAAAGAGGTTGCTAATGCAAGTGCTCAGTGTCCAGATCCTTTTTGAGCAACTGTTCATGTCCTCAGAGCCAGAAACAATGAAATCCAAACTGTTAACAGTCTGTCATTGGCTTTAATCACAAGGTGTTGGATATGTGTGCTCTGCAGTGGGAAGAGAGTCAGATGGTGGATGTTGTTCCTACATTTCCCAAACTTCTGTGTGGCTTACTTGCTACATACTGTCAACTGACCAGTCTGGAAAAGGAAATTGGTCAGCTGACCACATAAAATAGGCAAAGCAAGATTTTCTGGTGTGTGACATGGAGGAGCAGAACAGCAGAGTTGAAGCTTATGAGCCTTAGAGGATAAAGTGAACTCTGCTCCATCCTCATTCCTGAGTAATTTAGTGCAACCTGGAAGGTACAGATGCCATGAAGTCTGAGAGAATAAGAACAAAGTGTACCAAAATTAGTTGAATTTGCATTTGGTTTGTTGCATTTTTGTTTTGGCTTAAACTCTGAAGAAGACAGGCTGTTGTATTGGTCCACTACTTGGTACTACTTGGTTTGTTTCAAGTTCCTGCCTATATAAGAGCCTTGAGACTGCAATGCCCCTTATACTGTAGTTCCACAACCCTTAAAAGGATAATTTTGCAAAATATTACAACACTCCCCCAGTCAAGAAAGATGACAGCACTTGTTAGAACTTTATTCCCCAGACAGATGTGGAGAATGGCCTACCACCCTCAGTCACCTGAGAAACTGGTGTAAGACAGAGTCAGTCAACATCTGCAGTCAGAGACAGAGAGTAGATCCACTGTTATGCAAACTACACTAGAGGATAAAAGAGAATGAAGAATTTGACTTGGCAATTAATGGAAAACAAAACTGAACGAGTTTTGAATATGTTAGTTTTGGAAGAGTCTCAGAGGGAGACTTAAGTGATTGGATTCGGTAAGCAGCTTACAGTCGCTGCCAGCTGAGCTTTTAGATAGGACTCTTGAAAAATTCTAGTTAGAAGCCGAAAGATGAGTGTTTTGGTTATTTTCCTCACACTGAAATAAAAGGGCATTAACTCTAAAAACCTTGTGTCTGTTTTGTGTGGTTGTTTTACCTAGACCTATCTATAAAAAATCCTGTTCATGACACCTCACTCAACAGTGTCTCTCCAGCTTTGGGGAATTCATTACACCAGAAGACCTTGGGTATAACATCAATGCAACAGTCACAGGTTTCTGTCATTTAGTAGTTGTTAAAGTTGTATAGCAATTACTTGTTACTATTGTGCAGTGTTTCAATATTGAGTTGAACTAGGAAAAGAAAAACAGCATTTCTAGGCATAATGTACTTTTATCTGACATCAGGTTTAATTTTTAAACCACATGAAAAGATCATTTACATAACGTACACATTCAGGACAAAATGCGGAGGTGTAACATTTTCACTAATCACAACAACTTAATGCACTGTTGTCTTTCTCACAGTGAATTATCTTCCCCTGTGGCAGTAGACTGAAATGAGCAGATAGGCAACATTATATGTGAAATATTGATCTGTCCCTCAGGGCTTCACTGATCTTTATAATCTCATGAATCCAGATATGGCAACAAATCTTTTTCTCACCTTTGGCAAGCAAAATCTGAGATATTTTGGCTTGAACATTGTCTGTAGCTTTACTACACTTAAGCTGTACATTCTGATTTGAAAATATATTTTTAAACACTACCATTAGAAAATAACATACAATTTACTATTAGTATTTCACATAAATACTGACATGCATTAAAAATAAATGAATAGTGGAAACATGAGCATTTGTATTTATTTGAGCTACATGGTAAATATACATATTATAACATTTATTGGCTATCCCTCACAGTCAAAAATGATCATCCTCCCTATATCTAAAGGTGAGTGATAAGTCCAGTAGGTGAAACACAACCTCTCTGCTAGGCTGAACAGGTTTTGTCTGGGAAGATACTGTCATGTCTACAGGTAATGCAAAGTCATTATACATGTCTAAAGAGATTGTTTAATCACATGTATACATGTCTTTTGTCAAGGCAAGGAAATATTTTGCTTATATTAGACCTCACTAATGTGGTATCGAGTCAAGTATTGACTGGTTTAATACTCTTAATGTCATATAAGAAACATATACTGTATATTTAGAAGTAAGGGTTCATTACTTTAAATTTAAATTTAAATTCCCAATTCTTTCTATGCACCTGTCTTTTCAAAACAGTGCTCAAGATATCAAAGAAAAACAAAAAATTAAAAATGTAAGATATTGTATGTTAAGACATACAACTCAAATTGCTATGACTCACAATTGCTATTCTAAAATTTTTATTTTATTATAACTATATTTTTTGTTCGCACTAAAGACAAACATAATATAATTGTATTGGAAAAAGCAATTCAATTTTTTAATGTAAATCCAAGGTCAAACAAAGCCTTACTAACATGCACTTGAAAAGTATTAGATGAAACAGGATGTAAAGCTAAATAGGAAGAAATGTTTCATCCCACGTTTCATTCACAAAACACAAAATTACTAAAATTTATCAAAGGAAGCTAAACTTTCTTTCTTTGTATTGTGGAAAAAGCTGTTAAAACATTTCAAATAGCAAAATTAATTCTGATGAATAATACACATCCAACTGCTAAAAGAACTAAAAGTACAAGAACATATCTCTAGGAATAGCTTATCAGATTAGCTCAAAGATGTTTTCAGCTTTTGATTCAGTACTCTGTGAAAAACATGTGCTTTATTAAATGTATTGTAACCAATGACAGCCAATAGCATTTAATGTAGCATTTTATTACAATGAAGTCAATATCAGAATATTTTCATCATCTGCACATATTACTAATAAATACAAACCCAAACTAGTCAAAAAATAAGTCACTAGTACTCTCAGTCTTATTGCACATCACCACAAAAAAAAACAGATAATACTGAACAATTTTAAAAGCCTTAAGAATCCCATAAACACAGGCAGACACAGCAAACAGAAAATCTGGCAGCTCACAATTCAAAACCAATTTCAAAAGCTTCTGCAAACAAAACTTTCATGCCTGACTGTGTTTCAAATTGCCAAATCAGTCAATCGTTCTTCTCCATTTATATTCCAATGCTTACTCCTTTATGAGACAAATCAAAAATGAAGACTCAGCCGCTTGCTTTTAACTCATCACTGAGGACAGTCTGTATCACATGCTTCCCCAATGAGAGCTTTCACAATATATGTTAAGAAACATGAAAATCTTAAGACAGTAACACGGTATATTTTTTTCTATACACTTTAATTTAAATACCAGGGAAATTAACCCCACTGTTTCCTCCAGCCTGTGTTTACCACCTACTTCACACATTGCATTAGATTATTCTTTCTTTGTGTCAATGAGATTTTCAATGCAGCTTACTTGTACAACAGGAAAAATGTGTTAGGCCCGGCCAGCCTTAATATAAATTGGATTCTGTGTGGAGTAGAGGAAGAGCTAGGAAAATGAGAGATTTCCTTGGATGATAACAATCTGATCCATGAGACTGAAGTAGTGGTCTAAGGACGAGTTCATGTTCAAAGCCCTGGTTTCCATTCACAAAAGTTTTAGCGAAGGCGAAGTATGAACTCCAGAGAGAGAGAGACCAATACTGGGCACAGTGTGATGTGAAGAGAGGGTTTAAATGGAAGTAAGTTGATGGTAGAAAGCTGGAGATAATTAGTTACCTCGTTCTGTGGTGCTTATGGTTGATTAGGTGCTTGCGGGGAGTAGCAGCCGTAACACTGGAAAAGTAATGCTGACTGTTCTATTTAATTTAACAAAGCTACCAAATATGTTACTATATTTAAAAAAAAAACATCTAAAATGTCAAAATTACTCAGAGAATATCCAACTGCACAGATTTCCCAAAAGAACATGAGGGGGAATAAATGATGATGTGCTGTGATGTTTCATGTTGGAAAAAATCTTTGTCTTTCTGTTCTATCAGATTTGTGCAGACAGACTGACGTAGTTGGCTGATGTAATGGCCAATGGCAGAGTTGACCTTTAGGGGGTTTTGTAGAGAATGGAAAGAAATAGAAAGCATCTAAATCATTGCTAATACTCACAATGCTCACTCATATCTTTCATTTTAATCCTAAATCAGCTGTCTAGAAACAAAATAACTAAATATGATTAATTATGATTAAATAATTAAATATGATCAGTTTTCAAATTTAAGAAACGTTCATTAAAAAATATTAGTTAGCTAGTTTACATTAGTTCACTTCACTTGCAGCCCATTTTCAGAAAGGTTACAATTCTCTCTAGTACTTGTGAAGGACCCCTTATTCTGTATTGATTCTTCCATATATATATAACTTTCATAGAAGAACAATTTAAGGAACAGAGAAAGTATCGATAAATTTCTACACAGAACAAGATTACCAGTTACTGCATGTCAAAGAGCACATTTATTGCTGATTCTAGGACTTATTGACCTACAAATCAATAGGTGTTTAACACAAATTCCTGTTTGCAAAGCAAAATTTTACCAATTCAACACATACTGTACAACAATTGCATCTACTTGAAAATGCTGATTTTTAAAAATAAATACTACTGTATGGATTTCTTGAGGAAAAAGCTTTACAAAAATTCTACATTACTACCTTAATCTGACTAAACTTTACACAACATATTGCTTATCCAGATCATGAGAACTACATACAGTACTGATTGCTGCTTTTAATTTAGCAAATTCCACAAGACATGAACAAAAACTGTGATATACAGTATGATGTTCGTCTAAAGGGATAAGGTACTGTATATTCACAAGTGAACTCAAAAACATCGTGACTTCAAACTTGTCCAACCTGTAGAGTCCTTGTAATGTTAATCCCTTCGTCTCTTACAGTCTTCCTTTCTGGCAGGCTTCGTGGATGTGCTCTAAAACCTGCAAAGAAGGTAAATGTCATTTTAAAATTCTTCTCACTCCAACCCGGATTTCTTTGCTCTTTGACACAAACTAAAAATAGTGAAAGAAGAAATAAAAGTAATGAATCATTTGGGAAAATCTGTCTCAAAATGAAAATGATAATGGATATAACTAGTACAGACACAAAAAAGAATTGATTAGTGTATGTATTTAATTGTGAATAAAGAAATCTAAATCAGAAAATAGGAAATCACTTAAATAAACTAGGTGATTAGTTAAATCCAAAACCATATTTTTAAAACATTTATTTTTATGTCAGCCTTATTAATAATGGCAAATTTTCTATCAAACTGAGGTGTGTGTTTGATGAGTCAGGGATTTACCTCGATATGGTAAAGAGGTTTTAACATACTGTATAGCTGAGAGAGGTTAATGAGGTTATTTAATAATTGTTTGCAACTTCTTGAAGAGACTAATTTGGTAGTAGTACAGTTTGAGGCCCAGTGGAACATCCATAGAAAATGTAATTGGTGGTACTAGAGAAAAGCTGGGACAGTTTTGTGATGGAAACAGCAAAACTGGATAGATGTCATATTATATTTCTATTATATATATATATTTAATTTCTATTTCTAATAATCTATATTTCAATTTACTATATTTAAATATATTTCTAATCAAGCAGGGTTAAGGTCTGCGCATCTCAAGTGAGAAACCTACAATGGTTCATACTCCTCTTCAGCGAAAAGGGTTTTTGTCTAAGGGTGTACAGTATCTGACATAACTTTCAAGAGCTTATCTGACTTTCAAGCCTCTGCTTGTGTGAGAATTAAAAAGAAAAATAATTCAGAATCATGTCTTAGCAATACTAGCTGACATTTACAATTTTCTTTCCCTTTTTCCCAAAAAGGCAGGAGGCTCTGGCTATTCCCATACTCCATGCATGAGATAGACAAGACAAGATAATGAGCAGGGAAGACCTGCCTCTTCTTCATGAGGGAGATGCCTATGTGAATAGTTTAGAGCAGTTGAACAAGCTAGCATGAATGTCTCTGGGAGGTGGACAATAACAGATCACTTGACTAATTTCCACATTAATGCATGAAAAGCATGCAAACTCCACCTGGTCAGAATCAACCAGGACTCTAGAGATTTGAGGCAGAATTGCTAACCACCTCTTGAAGGCCCCTCTTATCAATTTGTGTATTAGCAATGACATAAGACAAGTCAAAATGATCCAAGTTAAAGTCCTGATGTTTAAGTGTATTTGGAAGGCAGGTGCCCTCCAAGACTGTACCCTAGAATTTGATTAACAATTACTTAATTCTTTCTTAATACAGCCCCATATGCATATGAAAATCTTTTATTGTTGAATACTACAGTATGATATTATTTGTACCAAAAAGTGAAGGTGATGTATTGTACATACAACTTGAATATTTCACTGAACTTTATAATCCTTACAAAAAATGTAGATTTTACATACTGCAAAAAGACAACCCCCTCTCACTCCATACAGCTGTGGATCCTTAGATGTCATATCAAACATGTACAGCTGTTCTTTCAGAGTGCACAAACTGCTGATATATACCAACTTATAGAGGTGACCTAAGCCCAGTACTGTTGCTATGGAGATGAAAGGAAAGGAGTTGCTTTAAAAAAAGCAAGGAAGTCATGGAATCTAAGAGCATGCATTATTGAAAGTTAAATCTAAAAATTCTTCAACGGGATGCACAGTGCAGTATTAATAATGTATTTATGCACTGCGTGTCAAACAGTTTCAGAAACAAACTGTTCAAAGTTCTCTGCAAGTAAAAGCATTTACAAGAACTCCAGAAAGATGTAATTTAACAAAACACACATAAAGTAAGTACACCTAATGTAATTCTAAATGTATTTCAACAAGAAATGCATTAATATATATAAAAACTATTAAAGTTCATTTTTTTATATATACAATAGAGAGCACAACCCCACACAACAGCAACACAGAACTATCCTAAAGAATTTATTTTTATGCAAAACATATGTAAAAAATAAACATATAAGGTAAAATTTGTATAATCTTTTTTTTCAAGAGATAACCAAGTCTAGACAAGCTACAGAAGCAGAAGGAAACATAGTAATGCCTGTATTTGCTGACTTCCTAAATTTAAACGTTCAGTTTCTATAAAGCTTCAAAAAAAGAAACATAGGAAGAACAGTAACACAGAAAAAAATGTACAATCAGTAAAACCTCTGGTTATTAGGCAAATGGATTTCAAAACACTTTCATAGTTATAATACTTGCGACTCTTAGTAACAACAAAGCAATGCTAATCAACAGAGTGACAAACTAATGCATTAATGCTTAAATTAATACTGAGACATGAATATGTTTTACTAACAATAGATTTAGCCACAACAAACACATACTATTATTAAATTTGCTGAGACTCAGATGGAAAACACAGATTCTCCTTCCTATTACAAACTTACTGTCCTTCAAAGTATTTTCTTGATTCATGGAGCTGTCATTGACATCTGTTTTTGACAACATACAAATCTGGTTGGTGACACATATTCCTTCTTCCTGTAATCCTCAAGGCAAGCAGAGAGGTTTCTGATGATAGCTCCACAGCTCCTGGCTGAAAGGCTGCAGTACCAAAAGGTAGCTCTTTCAAACAGCCAACCAAACTTTGTGTGAACCTCCCTTCACAGTGGGATTAAAACAGCCCTTTGTCACAACACAATAGGGGTTAAACATTTCCTGGTATCATATGCAAGCAAGGAAAATCCACTGAGTTACAACGAAATTCAGAAAACAATTATTGTATCTGAATGTCTATTTTAAAATTCCAGAAATCTTGAAATCTAAATTAAGGTTCCTGAAATACATGATAAATATTAACTATGTAAAATATTAAGGCCTTATCCTGTCAAATTTCAGGATCCTGTAAGCGTTTATTACCTTATAATTTGTCTGTATATATACTGTATATGGAAAGAAATTGAACACATTTTGTTTTGTTCCTCTAAATTCTAGTAAATTCTCTAATATACTGTACAATTAATATACTGTACACATATATTGGTCACATTACAAATCTTGCCAGCAACTCCTTGTTACCACAGGTTTTTGCACTGCTTGTATGCTGGGTTTTGTTATTGAAGGATTACAATTTCAATTCTTTTTAAAAGAGGAACAAGAAAGAAGAATCCCACTAAGCCGCACGTTATACTATTTATAATGCTGCAGAGGTTACCCACAGTAAACCAAAGAATTATGGTAGACTCTCCCTGCTAAATACTCTATATTTTTTAAAGAAACATGTAAGGTAGTTTTTTCCATGGTTTATCATTTTCCAGGTTAAAAAGATATTAAAATCCCCTAAACAGATGTTATGTGCAATTCTATCCACACTCACATGTATAGGTTTGTTTATTGGGAACTGCCACCCATTAAAGGGAAAACCTGAAAATCCCTGTTGACATCTGTTAGCTATGGTTGTTGCCTGCAACAATAGCAAGCGCTATCCCTTTGAAAGTTTTGTCTATTCTCCTTCCCTGCCCAGTATAATGCTCCTCTTCACTAAAGCACAGCTAATGTAACATAATCTCCTTCAAAGCACACTGTCCATCAGATGAAGATAACGATTAAATCTTTTAAAGACCACCTCCTACAACTTTGTTTTCGCAACTATTTCTAGTTTTCTTGTCTTTGATTTCAAAATTGTGTATTAATATTTTCTAACACAGATGAAGTGAAAAAGACAGCATGCAATATCTGAAACAAATTCAAAATTCAAAATAAATAGCTAATGGTTTAATTATGAAAGGTGTTTTTTGAAAGTCATTGTTGCATGTAATTATAGGCATATCTATTTCCAGCAAAAGGTTAAAAGTTTCCAGAGCATTAAAAAGAATTTGGCTTTTACTGGTCTCGGTTTGTTGAGCTGTAAATAAAAAGGTTTCATGTTTTTTGGGGAAACAAATCAGCAAACGTAGTAAACATATATGCATTGCTTGTTTGGAACAAAACTAACTTTCAAAAGTCTCATGCTTCATCAATTTTTTTTGTGCCAATTTTTGCTCACTCCTCTATGTCATGTTTCTTCCTCTTGACTGTTAGTCTTCAAACCTTACATACTCTTTATCTCAATTGTTCACTTTTATATTTTGAGCTAAAAACATTACACAAGCACCATTATTTCATGACTAAAACATTCACCTTTCATTATATTACGCAGTTTTATTCAAGGAAGCCTTAAACAAGTGACCTGTGGTTTGGTAAATGTACAAATATTTCTCATGTAAGATTCCAAATAAAAGTATACTTTTTCAATATGCGGATTATAAAGCATGATTGACCAAGTCTAATCAGAATTACTTCTGCACACTGAATCTCTTCATCAGCAGAGACCCCTTAAACACTAAATGATTCTTGATGTCCCTTCTTCCTTCAGTCTCACACTGTGCTATGTTGCTATAAAGACAGTAGCACTCAGTGGGTATCACAGCACACATAATGAAGACCCAATATTTCAATGAGAATTTTTTAAAACATGAAGTTCATACTGAAATCAGTTATCTTGCTCACTGTGTGCTTGCATTTCTTACTTCTAAGAAAGTGGTGGGGGGCTTTATAAAGTGAGGAAGGAAAAGCCTCTATGTGGGGTCCCAACCAAATCAACCAAATGAGAACTGATTGGCTGAAAAAGAATAGGAGGGACACATTTTTCTAAACCCTGAGAAGAGGGTTGGAAGCATTTTCATACTCTACATGATTATTTCCCAGAAACGAGATCATTTGGCTTTGTGTACTTTTTCACATCCTATGATGTAAGACGTGGCACAGTATTAACAACCCGCTGATTCAAATTCTGTTCTATGAAATGTATTTGCGGAACACAGGACTTGCTTTTTGGAAATACCATTAAATCATAACTATGGTAATCCTGAGCCTTCCAAAATATCAATGAGAAGAATCACCACATCCAAGGAGAGATTTCTGTACACAAAATACTGAAAGTAGTTATTTTAGCCTTTCTTTTTTTCGACAATGTCAATGTTATTATTATTCCCATCTGTGCCCACCTTTCCTGTACTCACCATAATTTTTAGAAGCAGGCCTGTTTTGATTACAGTCTTGCTGTAATCTTGCAGTTTGTACATAATCTGTTTTTGGACAGTTAATTTAATATCTACTGTATTTGTAAATGGATCTTTATAAATCAGAAATATAAAGTCTTGTTACACTGTTTCTTTTGCGTTTCTGAACCCTATTGTAAGATCTTACTCAGGCCCAAGCCAAAAAAGATCAAAACATCAGACACTGAAAAAAAAACGTAATTGTCAAAAGAAGGAGAAACATGTTATTGACACATATATGACCTATAATATACAGTGCACAGATTTTAATAGTTCATTGAATGATCACAGAATAAAACAACATATTTTGCCTTTCAATTTTTTTTGGTCACATCCAATCAATTACCATAATTACTAGAGATCAACTAAAATGTATGGAAGATGGAACCTGCTTTCTTCAAGAAATGTTTATTTTAAACAATTGATAAAACTATAAAACTGAAGAGATGACAATCTGAAACTTGTAATGATACTTTTTTTTACTCTGAAATCTTAAAAATGGTCCAACAGCTATAATTTTACACCCCTCCCCCTGTCTAGCACCACATATAAAATCAATCTAACTGGTTTCCATGGCTCTGTAAGTTTCTACCAGGGGCAGTTCATTTACACAGTCTGAGTGTTAACATACCACCAGACAGGCTTCTGGAGAAAGAGACATTGAGAAGCATAAGAGAGTACAAAGGAAATGTAAAGCCATTTAATCAAAGATTACCACCCACATGGTAGACGGTTTTCTAGAGGTTAGGGCATTATTGCCCAGCAAGTATTTTTCCTCATATCCTCACTTTAGTTAAAAGAACAAAGTTATCAAAGAATCGGTTCAGCGCCAGTGAGGAAATCAAAAACATTTCTTATTATTTCAGGAAGTCTAGGGGAGTACTACAAGAAGAAGTAGCAGATGGTTCTGATGTTCTGGCATGCAGCTAAAGTAAAAGGCTTCCTGGGAAAATATAATTGCCTTCTGAAGTGCTGTTACATTAATATATATTTTATGCTGATGTCATTTTCGGAAATAGAAAACAGTAATACCTTTACCAGTGTATTAAAAAAACAGAGTATGTCTTTAACAATATATTGATTACAACCATTAACATAATACTAATATCTAGACTACTGACTACAGTATTTAGAGTCTTTACAAAACTATTCATTCTGGACTATATCATGCTGCTGATATCAAGTGTTCTTACTACTGTACATGTTCAAAAGAGATGACAAAGTGTTGAGAGGGGAAAAAATGAAAGTTAAATTCAGATTATTATGGCCAAAGACAGCTATTGAAATAAAAATTGAATGGTCTTTACTATTGTTTTGATGAACTGTGGTTTCTGGTGGCATAAACAGAAGGGACAAATTAGCCTTACACAGATATATAGCACCTGCATGATCTTGAACTTGCTTTGAGTCATACTGTATGTACTGTAAGAAAATATTTGACTATATATTTTTAATATCAGATGGTTGTCTGTAAATTGTTTTTATATTCTGTATATTATGTATCTTCTAATGCCATAAAAGCAAAACATACAGCTCATATATTTGAAAATGCATCCTACCATTTGTCACACATAGATTTATAACTGAAGTTAGTACACTTTTAATGAATCTATAAGGATGTGAGTAGCTTGAGACACATAGCGAGCTGAATTCTATTGTTTAAAATCTTAACCTTTATTACTAATGACATTCAGTGGTTTGTTTTATCCTAATGTTTCATGGTACTTTTAATGGATATGGTATTTCAATGTTAAGAGTTATTTATAAGAAGATATGATTAATGATGAATCACATTGATGATGAATTACAAATATATTTCTATTTTCACTTTGGTGCTTTGGTAAGTGTCCAATAAAGCCCAATGATTGATTACTAGCATCTAAATAAGTTTTTCAAAATAGTAGGCAAGTAAATGAAAATTAAAAATATTCTGCATATCCGAATCTGAACAGCTCCTAATAAGTACATCTTTTTACCCTGAGAATACAAAATAAAGGCTCAGTGATTTTCTGATGAAAACAGCAAAAGCTGTATTCCTGCTGTTAGGTGCTGTTTATTGTTCCCAAATCAATCAGGTGTTGAGCTTACAGAGCTTCCTCAGAAGCACATCACTGTCATACTACACACTCTCATGTTTGAAGACATTCAGTATCTAGGTTATCTCACTTTGAGATCTGGGCCTCCTCTCTTCTCTTTCACAGACACTACGGTACAAAGCCAATCAAACTGTCTTCCAGCTGTAGGCAGCCACCACTTCTGCACAAGGCACAAAAAGACAGACTTGTGCTTAAGAGATTGCAATACAAACGGAAAAACAAGTTGACAATTTTGCCAATACAATGTATCTAAATACTACACAATGATCAAAAAACTTAATTGGATATTTAAAAAAAAAACATCCACCCATCCTTCAAAATGTGTCTTATTTCTGTTAAAGGTCACCACATACAGTTCAGCTATAAATATTGACAGAGTACCTCAAATGTAGACAATTTCATGACGCGTATTACAATAGAGCAGCATAACCTAAAATACACATTTCAGCTTTGTGGGCATCTGGTCCCAATTGGTTTGCTTCTGGGATCTTCCAAGTGCCTTCTTCAGTAAAAGAACATTAAGAAAGGTTATAGATTAGAGTAGCACATTTAGCTTATCTTGATTATTTTGGTTGCTAGTAGCTAAATGATTCAACAATTTCAACTGGTTCATCTTGAAAGAAGAAGTGATATCAATTGTTTAAGACTCTTACAATTTTTTTATAAAAGTAAAACATCCTGTTCTTCATTCTAAATGCACGCCCCATAGTGTAAATTCGTATCCTCTGGTTCATGGTTTGCTAATATATTTTACCTGTATTAAAAATGTATTATATACTTTACCTTCACCTGAATTATGCTCATTTTAGTTAATCACTTAAAGTAATGTACTAAGTATTTCAAAATCTAAAACAAATACTTATAAAATCATAACTATTTCAGCCTCTATCGTTTTCTTGATTGATATAATTAACCATTCGGACAACAGCTGTCTACCTTTTTGATAAATACTTTTACTGTATGTGCCAGGATGTCTTTTTGACATATAGGGCCACACCTCCCCTTCTTCCATCTCTCCTGTCAGTGGAAAGATGGAAGAAAGGAACACAGTGTATCCAATAATGTTGTATCCTTGTATGTTGTATCAATCTCTGTTAGATGTGTTCTTGTGATTCCAAATACAGGTACATTACACATGCCTATCTCATGTATTTGTTTTAGTACATGATTGCCTAAATCTCTGATGTTTGGTTTTTCTCTGGGGTTGTCTTTTCGGCTCTAAATCCAGTGCATCTCCATTTCATATTTTCCCTGTATTCTCCCTCTTTACATTCTAGTTTAATATCTTTTGAGAATTTCCCTGTGGATCGTCATGTGCCAAGATGGCTGGTGTGCACCTTATTTAGATACAATCTATTATGTCTGTAGAGATGACTTCTGCAATACAAATTGATGGAATGTGACTGAATATTGAACCTGAAATCAAAGCTCAGCTCCTTCAGTAAATGTAACAGTCACAAGAAAGTCATCAGATTGGGAGAACTTCTCTGAGAAAGTATATGTGGTGTTTTGTTCAGGTCAGAAGTGAAGTTGCAGGGTGGATAGTGTAATCAATTGAAAATAGCATTCCAAATATTAAAAACACAAAATATGTAGACATATGATTAATTGCACGAATTCCATTCCGCTAGGGTATAAATTCTTTATACTCAGACAGTTTGCTCAAAAGCTCTTCTGCTATAAATCAGCTATGCAACTACTGATGTGAAGTACTATAAAAAATAAATAAAACAGAGATTAAACAAGTGTTTAGAAAAAAAAATGTGCTCAATAAAAACTGTAACTAAATTAAGGTTATTCCTCCAGATAAACTATAGCTAGAAGAGGAGTTTTGACCTAGTATAAAGCTTAGACTTTGGCAGCTGCATCATAGTGAACTGACGCAATACATATTTAATGTAATTTCTTTCAGGACAGTATCATAAAGCTCAAAGTATCAAAGTACTGTTTGTCTTATATACTTTCTTTTATTAAGCAGTTGACTATACATTGTGAACAATTATATCCAGGGTGTATTCTGCCTTGTGCTCATTGCTTACCGGGATCTGCTCTGGCTCCCTGTGCTGGATAAAGCAGTTGGAAAATTGATGGATGGATGACAATGCAGGATCTCCAAGTGTGTCTTGTACCTGTGTATGAATAGTAGACCTACTCAGCCATGATATATAAGGAGATTAGCATTATAAATTCTCTAGAGACCAAAAAAGAAAATTACCATACTGTTATAATCAAATGTCTAGAATAAATGCTGAGAAAGAATGCTGAGATTAGTAAACAGTCTTCTAAAAAGCATTTACAGTCTGCCACTTGACTTTTTTCGTGAAGACTGGTAAATAACAACAAACATTTTGTGATAGGCAGGGTTAATTTAGAAACAAACAGCAGAGCCACAATCTGTAAAAACAGCAGGATATGAGTTCATTTTCCTCACACTCTAATCATGCTGTTTGCACACCACAGACACCACCTGTCCATAATTAAAAATGAACTGTGGTATCCTTCCATTCTAAAATAACCAGTACGATAATCCTCTTTCAATGTACATTTACTTTACTGAGCTGTTAATGTTAAAGGTGTGGTACTGCTTGATTCCATATTAATAACAAGGATGTTTTAAAACAAAATATGTAAGAGAGTTAGGACATAATAAGGTGTATGTTATTTGCTTTCATTGTATTGTATTTAATTAGTTAAAATGAAAAATTACACTATTTTACTTTGGTGGGTTAAAATGTTTGGGTCAAGAGACCAGCCTATCAAGAAGAAGTGACCTCAACAACAAAAATATGATACTGTATTTTGACTTTCAGTATCAAATGTTGTAGTATAATAAAATAGGCACAAAAAACAATAATATTTCTGTGAATAAAAAAAATCAATTTAATTCTATTATATTTTGAATCTACTGTAGATTAGTATTAAACACACCTTATGCTGAATTAAATGAACACGAAGTCAGTTTAATTCTTTTATAGACTCAGCATTATCTAGATTCTCTTAATATTGGTGGCAGTTATGAAATATAGATCATCACATATATGGAAAATGAAAAGTCTAGGGTTATTTTCTTAGTGTCCAACCCACCTTGATATTCACAGGTCCCAGTGCATAACAATCTATTACTGTACTGTATATAACACTATGACTCACTCCCCCAAGTGTGAGCTGCCTTGTTGGATATGCAATACAGTATAAGTCATAGTAAGAATGTAAAATCCACAAATACTGTATCTAGCAAGAGACTTCATGAAATTTGAAATATGTGGAAATATGTGAAATATCTGGTTAAGCATTTAGGAATATTACAAAATTAATTTTAATTGTAAATGAATTGATCAGTTTTAAAAATACAATTAAAATGTCTGAAAATAAATTCTTAAAGGTTAATGGGAAACACACAAAGATAAATAAAAACTAATTCAATTGCAGACAATACACTAATTAGACACAACAAGAAATGGTTTGAAGTAAAAACAGTCCTTGCTCCAAGGACCAAAAATATCAATATTACAAGGACTGACACAGCTGAACAATTTAAAAAATAACATTTTCAAATTTGTTCAATTACTATTATGAAATAAGAATGCAACAGGTGTTTTAATGTAGCCTCAAATAAAATTGAACAACAAGTTATTTAGTAATTGAATCACCAGTGAAGTCTTCCTTACAATTAAATATGATTAGCTTAATAAACATATTGTGGAAGTTCCTGTCCCATCAAAATGACAGACACTGTGCTGTACTTCTGAACCTGATACATTTATTTTTCAGAAATGCACTGAAGCAAAAATGCTATTAAAGTTTTTTTTATTAATTTACTCGAGCTTGAAATTACATGAAATATAGACCGGAATCAGAAGCAGTCATTAGAAGTGCCGAGTTATATTTATCTAAGGCATTGTGGAGTGTGGTTAGCCACACTTTCACCCCACAATGCCCCCAGCACACAGATCAGAAAGTGTGACCTCAGCATTGCAGTCAACTCCTTCCAGCATGCAATACTAACACAGTCACTTCAGTTCATGAAAATTACAGAAAGAGATGGCCCCTGGATGCCATAAACCAGCTGAGATTAAAGCCTGATGCTGCCTAGCACCATTCTTTTTTTAATATTAACTGAGGGTGTGCTATCAGCCCAGATGCAGTGAGTAGCTTGAGGAATGGGAGTCAATGAGCTGGATAAAACACTCTCTAGCAATCACAAAAGAAATCCCAGGGTTCCCTGAGGCTTCAGGTGATAGCACATGGATAATGTGATGATATCAGCCACTAGCACAGAGTGTTTAACGTATGCACAAAAATAACACACCACAGGAGCATTGCACTGACACTGGAATCCTCTGGCAGTAGCCTGTAAAGCTGAATCAGATGGGGAAAGGGTCTTTATTTAAAATAAAACCTGCATAGGAAAAACTAACTATATATGTGGATTTTACATTTTTAGTCAAAATGTAAGGATTACAAAACACATAACCAAACATCCTGAATGCTGCTGTACCTTTTTAGACAAAAAATATTGAAAAACAAAGTCAGTGAAACGAAATCACTATCTAAAGATATTACTCAACAATCAAAATTTATTATCAATCAAGATTATGACTGCTTTTTAAATTTAGGAAACAAAAATAATATGAAAATGCATGACTTGCTTTAATATAGAAGGTTACATTATTTCCACACAAAAATCACAAAAGAGTCACCTCAGTGAACGACCATACATGGTAGGAATGTAATCCTCTGTAAAATTTACCATGGTGTTGAGGATGTACAACTGTGGATTCTTTTATCTCTTATTCTTTTATTGATTTATTTTGACGCTCCCTTCATCAGTTAATCATATCCTTCTATTAAATAGATGTTAAAACTAATATAATAATTCCAATTAAATACACTATTGCTTCCTATGCATCCAATGTAAATAAGGAGTGCAGCACATTTAATAGTTCAATAGAATTTCCAGAATGTAGAAGAACATTTCCATTCCCCACTGAATAGAATTAGACATTTCAATTTCAGCTGTAGACACACATTTGTGCCACAATTGATTCAACTAGAACAATACAAGTCAATCAGCTATCGACTGTCCTTGACACAAAACATTTTTTTTTTACAATCATTCTGTCTATTCGCATTTAAGAACATTTGAATTGTCCATATGCACCTTAGATTATAAAAACATACTTGTGAGTGTGATTAATCACCTTTCTGGCTCTACCAAAAGCTGAAGACTTTCTTTCAGCTTAAAATTCAAAGAAATTCAGCAACTGGATTTCGCTCTGAGGTTAAATGACTTTGTCTTCTTTTTTAGGTTGAAATGATTCTTTAAATACTTCCGTCCATCCATTTTCTAACAGCTTCAATGTTATGAACAGAATTATAAAAAATAAAATTAGTTATAAAGAGAATATTAAAATAATGGAAAAAAGACCAAAACATGTCTTATTGTGAGGAGGCTAAATACTGTATAACTTTAAACTTAGACATGTCTTTTAAAGGTTTTTTGTGTGTGTGGTTTACAGAGATTTTAAAAAGCTCTGAAGTTGTTTTGTATTTTTTTCCTGCTAAGTTTTACTCGAGTAACAAATGCACTTTCCATTATGTCTTTCCTTGTTCTAGTCTCCATCAGAAAATTACACTACATGTTTCACTCTGCCTTGATATAACAATGTAACAACAATATAATAATATTATAATATCACAATATAACAACATTCTACACACAACTGTAGTGTTATACATCACCATCTTGTTCACTTTCAGTTCCCAAATTCCAGTTGTAGCAGTAAAAGCAGACTCCCAGTGGAAATTGGTCCCTTTAAGTTCATAGCACTTAAAGTTCTAATGGAACCTAGTCTTTACCTTAACTCAGTCAGTAAGCATTACTGTCTTTTATATAAACCATTTTAAAAGGTTTTGAAAGAGATAATGTTATTGATCAAATGCCCATTAGCTGTTAGATAAAACACACAAAAAAGATCTACAGAAGTGATTTCCATAGATTCAACACAATATAGGAGTATCCTACTGAGTTCTGATATTTTCTCAGGATCTATCACTGACTCCAATATTTATATAACATTATGTAATATTTACTTAAGATAGTGTAAAACAATCCTAAAAATGGGAAATTAAAAATACTGAAAAAAGGCAAATAGTAAATTGTTAGGCAAACATAATTGTTTTGTTTTAATTTAAATGATGTGTACAACTTGTTTAAATATAATACAATTGTTAAAACATTTTGTTCAGAATAATGTAAAGGATTATTATCAATATGATTATGTAATGAAGGTATCTAATACCCACTTTTGGAAAAAGATTGTAATACTTTTACAAATACATTGTTGAAACAATTCAGACTGCCAAAGACATATCTCTTCATATGATGAACTTATGAGTGCATGTTGTCAATCCATTAATTAATGGAAAACTGAGTTCCACCCAGGTAATAGTGAACTAAGCTAAGGGCCACACGTTGATCTGAGTTTCTTTTCCCTGCTGAAATACTGGAGGCATGGATGCCAATTTCTGTGACTGCTGAGCTTCAGCCAAAGCCAAGATCAACAACTCAGCAGGGATAAGCCTCAAAAATAGCAAGGTGCCGGACACATGTCATTCCGTGATGAACCACCTTTGGCATGAAACACCCCTGGGATTTAATCGACAGCTCCTCCTTGCAATTCTAAAGTCTGTTTCCTTGGTTGTGAATGCTAGCTATTTTCATGGCTAAATATTTTTTTTTCAACCAAAAAATACTTTTGTAAAAATAATTAAATTTTGAATGGTCTGCAATTTAAAATTTGCACAATAACAGTGATATAGCAACATGCTCTAAGTTCCAGTAGTACTGGTTTTGTGATTGATTGTCAAAATATTAGTTATTAAATGTATAAAAAATGCATAAAAACATACACAATTGTTCAATTTCTTAGATTTATGTGACTATTGTAGCTATTAAACATGGTAGAATATCTAGTGCAATGCTTATAAAGCTCATTTCAAATATTTGTGAATAGATGTTAAACCATTACTTAAAAACCATACAAGTTGTCTAAGATAATAGGAGCATGAAACTATTGAGAGTCTATATCTCTCCTCAGATCAATATATGTAAGGCTCATCTCAGACT